TTTATTTTTATGGATTTTTTTATTTTCTTTATTTTTTTTTTGATTCATGAATCTTTTAAAATTATAAGGTCAGAAATAAAATTCTGTACTTCTTGATCTACAGGTATTTTTTATATTCAATGTTTTATCTTTTTTTATAAATTGTATATGAAATTTTTTTAAATAAGATACAATAGTTTGTTACTATTTGTTTATGAAATTTATTAGTGCGTCTTTAAATTATCAAAATGATTTTTGTTTTGTATTATGGTGACCATACTTCCTGGATTTCCTCCTTGTCTCGGATGTTTTTAAAAGCAATATTTGTCCTGAATTTAGATCTTTTGTCCCGGTTTGTCCAGGATTTTCGAAAAGTATAGGATTAAATGGAATCTTCGCAATAAATTACAACAAAAACCATCAAATATATAAAAATGATATACATATATACAACGAGAATGCTTATATGAAGCAATACGTTATATATATGAGAAAATTGCTGATTGTAAAGTTTAAAAGGCGCGTTAAATAGGCCTTAACATTAGTAATTTCGATCTTTCGTTTTCAACTTAACGAAAATTAGAAAAAAAATGAAAACCAACTTTCGGACTGCCTGACCAGTCAAAACCGGGGCGGCAATTGTTAGATATTCTAATCCGGGACGGGGTACAATAAAAAAAAATGGTTTTTCATATGAATATATTTTTTTAAATCAGAATTGCGGACTTTTAGTCAGAACTTTATTATTCGATTATGTGTAATACTTTTTATCTATAATATATTTTATATTTTCCGATCTTATACTTTTCGCTTTTGAGCCTTGTATAAAATTCTATTTCACTTTCTTAATAATTAATTTAAAAAAAATAGCACGTGTTTATTTGTTTTCATAATTTTTTGATAATTTACCTATTAATTTTAACGCTTTATTAGCGTGCTGTTCACTTGAAAGTTTTAAAGCCTTTGCCATCGTCCACGTGTAATACATATAGGTGCATTCTCATGTGCTACAAATTGTGTCATTTGTCATGTGCTATGCGGTATGCATGAGCTTCAAGAACATGCCGTATCCACGATTCAAGTACAATATCACATAGACTGTTATGTTCGAAACGCATATAATAACCTTTGGCAATAACGGAAAGCTAGAACTGTTACTTTCATCTTACAAGTTGAATGAGTCCTTTATTTGCTTCATAGCTGCCTGAATGAGGAAGCTGATATACTATATCAATTATTGCTTAGTAGAGGGTATGCCGTTTGCTTTTTATAATTGATGGTTTTATTAAATGTGTTTTCAAAATAATTTTTATACCAGTTTTTTACTGAATATTGCAGTATGACGATAATCATTTTTGGACATTTTAAACTTGAGCGACGCTATACTTCTGGTGTCAAACTCTGCGACAAAAAGTTGTAAGATTTAATTGTTATCATCCATAATAAAACCCATTTTCCAGTAAGTAATTTATAAAATGTGGTAATATATTTTGTTGTTAATTTTACACCGATGATGAGACAAATCACGGTCTGGAAACGCTTGTTTTTTTTTCATCATATATTTAATTTGCAATTGTTCAACAGAGATCAAATATTTTTGTTAGCAAGTAAAAATGAGCAGTTTCTTGCATGTAAATTAATGAACGCTTGAAAGAATGCCCAGTTGCATTCTTCCCTTAAGTTATAGTAAAATATATGAGGTTGACGTGGTAAATAGATCCATAGGCGATATCGAAACATTATCGAATATATCGAATTATCATATATCGAACATTAATTATATAGCAATCTAAAGTGAAGAAATATTCAGAGGAAAATATTCTATGTTTAAGATTTTTTGATGATGTTTTCATCAATTTATTTATGAATACACAATCACCTACCACCATACATTGCCTGAAAGTACGCGATTGGTTGGAGTCCACAGTTGAACATACTGTTTGAGCATAACTTTTGCTATTTGCTGTTTCATTTAATATTTCTTTTAAGGAGAAACTTATATAAATACTTATTTTGTTATTCCGCCTTGTGTCACGAACAGAATGGGTGACTAGATAATGCATAAATGACGTGGTATTATAAGTATATAATGACGTTATTACGCAAGAGCAGTTAAAAAAAATTCTTTTGTCTGCAGAAAACCATGACATTCGAAATAATTCAGTTATGTAACGCTATTCTGTGCGCTGCAGAAAACCAACTATGCATTTTTTGCCAGGTTTGAAAACAGATTTTCAACATCTTAATTCATCTTGTTGACATTATTGAATAAAATTAGACATGATTAAAACGAATCTAGATAATTTGGAATTGAAATGCATACATTTTGAAATTCATATACGAGTACATATCAAAAAGATCATTTTATTATTCATATACGAGTACATATAAGAAACCAGCAATGCTGAAATTCAATATGAATACTTCCCAAAATTTTTGCCCCAAGTTTTTTTTAGCTATATATGATAGATAACATAACAGTATCTGAATAATGTAATCCTAATACATAATTGAAAATTTCGATTAAGATCATCATGTAGTTGAGTTTGTAGTTATTTTACTCAAAGAGAATAATTTGTTATTCGTTACAAATAATAAAAGTTTATTGCATTCTACATTCTACTACTAAAGTCAACCTATAATTTACATGATGGTGTAATTGTATGAGAAACTAATGCAAAAATACCATTCATATATTTAGAATAGTTAGCACTTACGTATTGTGATGATATTATCAATAACAGTAGGCCAAATCGCTACAAAAGCAGTTATAGATAAAACAACTAATTTATCCTTGTATTCGAAAACACGCTGAAACATTGATGGGTCGTTGACACATATTTAGCCAATTAGCATTGCAGCATCGAATAGATAAGTTCATATACCTGCCGGCGATAAGCGAATTGACATTCATTATGATGTAATGCGGATGTATTGACGTCATTGTTGCGGATTTCTATCTCCGATATTGACAAGGCCTAATCTATTGAGTGATTTGAATAAGTTCTGCAATTAATTTGCATACGGTTTTTGTATATAATGTATGACACTTTCAAGTATGATATCGAGATAATTGTTTGTTGAATATTAAGCATTGTAGCATTTTAATAATTTACTTTAATAAGTTGTTTAATCATTTTCAATTAATACATATTTATTTATTTATTTATTCATAAGCAAGCCGTATTAAATAATAATAAATATTATTTCAGTATCTTGTCAATATTATTCATAATTAATACTTAAATGAAAGTAATTTTATAATACCTATTTACAATTTTCACTTCTGAAAAAAAACTGAAAGAAAGCATTTGAACATCACATACAACGTTCGTCATCAAGTTCATCATATTAAAGTTCACCAGTCAAGCCCAAAATGCTTGCACAAGGGTGAAAGTTATACTGATTTAAAACCGCAAAATTAAATTAATAAAATAGCAATGAAAAATTAGCGATATTAAATAAATAAAAATTATCATATTTAAACATGAAAAAAAAAACATTGTTGTACAGGAGATCAAATCAAATGTCAGACTACGTAGATAAAGGATAAGAATTATGCAAAAAAATAATAAATAAAAAAATAAATTGAAATCAAATTGAGAAAGTTAGGCAATGTCATAAAAAGTTAATTCTTTGAAAAGTATAACTAGGGAAGCATGGAACTTTTTTTATTGTTTCGGATATAAGGAAGAAATTGATAAGTTCAGTCTAAGGTATAAAGAAAGAATACACCCCCATCCAAACGTCATGGCCAGAAATTTAGTGAAGTAACATGGCATCGAACGGCTCAAGAGAAAACGGCCTTTATCTGAAATTCTGCACTAACATTTCGATACATACTATTCTGTTATGCTCAGCGCACTATCTTACAATATTACATTTATTTTTGTAGGTTATTTTGAATCTTCGCAACAGTACTACTATTAATTCACTTGTATTTCTTTCGCCCTTCCTTCTTCCCTAATATAATTATCATCCAAAATTACTGAATGTTCTTTTCTCTTCATAACGACAGATTGCCATTTTTAAAAGCAAATAAAAATTTTTTTTGGATATTGAGTGGAAGTTTATTCATAAGTTGAATACCTAAATCGTCGAACGTATTGAGAAAGCTGGCTAGTTTATATGTGCACGCTTTAATAAATTTGTGTATAGTGTTGTAATTGGAGGAGGAGGAGCATTTTTAAGTATATTGTCGTCAAAATCGATACAATTTATACGTTTATACCGGCATAGTTGAAAATATTTTAAATATCTTGAAAATTTGAGTTTTTTCAAATATATATATTTCAGTACATAAAATTTAAAAATTTAAAAATTCTAAAATTTTGCCACTGCTCCAATCACAGTTAACTAATTAATTAACATACGTGAATTAGTTTGAGTTTGTTTCTGGAATAATTTATTATATTTGTTTTATTCCCTTGTATCTTCGAATGAATTATACAATTTAAACTTGAGAATCAGAGTAATTTATTTGAGGCAACATTGTATTTTTATTTCATTCGAACAACAAATCACAACAAATTATGGAACACCCTGAAAGACAATTGAAATAATTTTACTAACGTTTAACAAAAAGCTAGCTATGATGTCTTATTGGATATGATTATTTTAAATTAATTGTAATTATTAATTAAAATGTAACAATTTTTGGACATGTTGAATCCATATTTTTAGACGATTTTCAAGTAATTATTAATTTGTGTAAGATGTTTATGATGGGTTCATATATAAGCGTTCTAACTGATTCTAATAGTTTTTTTTGCGAATTAGAAAAATTTGGTTCCGTACTTCACTAATGTTTTCAATATATATCACAAATATATTTTAAATAATGTAAATATGTGTATTTGTATAGATTATTATACCGTCAGAGAACTACCTCGATTTGGGATAAAAATACAATACGTAGAGCAGAAAATAAATTATGTATTATCGTTGTATTATATTGATTCATATACCTTCGATACAAAAACTTCATTGAACCTAAATCTAAGATTTTGTTTTAATTGCAGGACACTGTCGGACAAAACAGCAATGACAGCACGAGCGGCGGCGGCGTTGGTGGCGGCGGCGGGGGCACGCCCACCTCGCAGGGGATGAGGCCCACCCCATCGCCCACTGGATCGTCTGGCTCCAGATCCATGTCCCCGGCTGTCGGTAAGATTGAAATTTTTAACTTCCTGAAGGAGAAGTTTGTTTTCATCAAAAAATCCGATTTGCTAATTTTATGTTTTCTCGACGTTTCAAGCCATTCTGAATCGAATGAGACCAAATTTGGAAAAAGAATGTGAGTGTGTGTGTATGTGAACAGATTTTTTGCCGTAAATCGACGTTTTTTTCAAAAACGGCTGGACCAATTTCAAAAATTTAAAAGCCATTTGATGCACCTCGATGAGGACTACTGTATGTCAGTTTCGTGCGATGATCGGCCAAGCCGTTTCTTTATGAATAGCAGAAAAGTGAAAACATTTTCGTCCACGTTTTAGCCCGCAATTCTGAATCGATTTTGAAAATTCAAAAACAATTCGAAAGATATTGATTGGGAATTGTGCTGATTAAAATATTATGCCGATTTTTATGAAATTGTTTATATATATATATATATATCATGGTGTTATAGAACTTACTGAAATATTACGGCCTTACGACAAGTAGTTCAATTTCAAAAATTCAACAAAGTTCGAGAAAGTGAGTAGTTTTTTTACGTTTGTTAAAATTAAAATTAGATGATTTACTTGGTATAACGATAGAGTATTTGGTCTTAATGAACATACTAAACCATCAAAGTCCTACGGAAACTGGTTCAATTATAAAAATTGATGATTTTTGAAAATTTGCTCTTAGAAAATACTCCGAGTTAACGTGATCGTAATAACGTTAATCACTAATAAATTATATTTTATCGATTAAGTCGTTTATTTAACAATTCGGGAAGTTCATGTGACTTGCCTCAAGGCAAAATACCAGTACCAACTAGTTAATTATTGCTTACGCTGATAATCTATTGTATTATAATTCAGAATTTTATTACGTAGTAGTTCACCCAAATAAATGATTTTAATGGTTCAAACCATAGGAATTGCCAATTCTCATATTGGTAAACGGATTCAAGTAATATCAAAAATCAATAATGAAAAAATGGATGAAAATAGTAATTTTCTTGAAAACTACATATTTTCTCTGCTAATCAATTTTGTGTATAAAAAAAATTAAAAATTGATTTGTTACTGCATACGTTTTGCCATCTTCAGTAGATCTACAATTTAAATAGTAAAGAGGAAAAAACAATTAAGAAAATTGAATGTAAATATATGAAATTTTTAATAATTATTATAGGATTAAAGTTATTATACAACTTGTTTTATACACACACACACACACAGATATATATATATATATATATATATAAATTTTTGAAAGAAATTCATGTTTTTCATTGATGTTATGCTCGATTATTAGACCTTGTTAATACATATGTCAACATCAAATTCAGAATCATACAAAATAAATATAAATATATATGTTGATACGAATATTGAAGATGTGAATATGAACTAGACCACTAGATTTAAATTGCAGACGTTTTGAGACCGTGATATGTCTTATCATCAGTATAAATTCTTACAGAAAAAGTATATATTTTATCATATTATAAAATATTTATTGTAAATTCTGTTTAATTATGGATAAAATACCAACTTTTGTATGGGAATATTTAAAAACAAATTCATAAGTACCAACATTAAGTACATATTCCTTTAGCTTTTGCATCTCCATATGAATACAATTGATTTTAATTACATAATAAAGGCGTTTGCTTGGCACGTTAAACATCATATTAACACTATTCCTACCAACATATCATATTTGCTATTCCTACCGCGACCGGTCAAATGTACTGAATGAAGAGTTAATGCTTAAGAGTATAGAAATGCAAATAAAAAATATTTCTTTTATTTTAGAATGCGAAATCTACATTTTATTCTCTTTAATCCTATATTTTACTATTTTTTTTCTTAGAGTGTATTTTCTGCACACCTATTTTTTACGTTTTTGGCTGATTTTCTTCTCCCTATCGTCTTTCTAAATGTACTTATATTTGGTTGATTTTTTTCTGAATTCTTGTTGGAACTATACGGCAAGTTAATTAGAATAAAAAGTTCCTGCCTTGTACATTGTTTTCCCGTAATTTCTTTGTGACAACAATTGATTTTATCCTGAATAAATTCAAAATAATGTAAATATTTGATAAATTCTCTCTAAAATTCATATTTTTACGAATGATTTCTGATTATTTTATGAATGACATCTACACCAATCACGGCGCTAATACCAATTGAATTGACTTCCGTATTAGTGTAATTTTTTCAACATATGTGTATGAAAGTGAAAATTAGAATCTTCTTTCTTGGCTTCCAAAACTGCCAATATTATTTGAGTTATGAAGTCCTTGATTTTTAGTTCTACCAGTATTTGTAGCTGTTGTATTGCTTCAATTATACCTACCATCACGGTTTATTTGAACTAAAAGTTTAGCTGTAAGTAGGATGGTAAAACGTTATATATTTTTTACATCGTACTAGCGATTTTGATAATACTGATAATCAGTTATAAATTTTCAAAGAAATTCTCGATTTGCGACTTATACTGGATGGTTATCAAAATTGTACACCCCATTTGTGCGATATGTTGGGCATAATTATAATTACATCGTATATTGAATGGTTACTAAAATCTCATACTACGTTTCCCTGAATATTATTGTTCACGTGTTGAATAAATTTACACCTTACTTTTATTGAAAATTTATGTTTGTCGATAGTAATACGTGATCTTTTACAACAATTTTGATAGCTGTCAATGTAGTTGAACCATCTTTTGAATTCAAAACAAAGCCTATCAATTTGCTGTTTGGATTTCTTCGTAAAAATCTGTCTACACATAGACATTGAGCAAAAATGAGACAACCCACTTCTTATACCGTAGAAGTGCAATATTTTTACACCTTGCCTCATAAGCGTGCAAACAAAATTGCAAAAATACATATAAATTTGCAGAAGGCAGTTTTCACCACTCTAAATACCTCTGCATTTACATTCTCTTGTAAGTTCGATCATATTCTTAACAATTACTACAAAAAATGCCGTCCCAACATCGTCTTTCGTACTACCGGTCAAATGACCGGTCGCGGTAGGTAAAACAGTATACAATTTTTTTTGCAAAAATAAAAATTGAAAAAACAAATTAACATTGAAAAAGGTATCATATTAGGAAAAGTCATAAGGTTTGATGACGATTCAATTACGTTTGATATGAAAAATACTAATGGAAAAATCAAAAACGATCATTTGACCGGTCCCGGTAGGAATAGTGTTAAGATATTAAGATATCAACAATGAACGAACCATATTATATAGTGGCAGTTATAATTAGCCCTTTCTAGTGATTTCAGACACAGACTTTTCGTCAGTCGTGGTCAACATAAGCTGATGAAAGCAAAGCTTGTCTAAAACAAATTATCACCATTGTTCCATTTTGTTGAAAAGGCAAATTAGAAATAAATATGCTCAAAACAACTCTTGGATGTCGGCTACGAAAATGTTACCGATTTTTGATCAATCGACCTATTTTTGTACAATCGCTGATTCGTAGGATTCTCACATTGTGGAAATATTTTCCTATGTATAGTAGTTTCGTATTTCGAGGTAAGAATATGAAGAACGCGAAGTGAAAACTGTCGTTCGGGATCATTGCGGCGAGAATATTAAGTTGAAAAATACTACTCGAGTATGTTAAAAATATATGTAACAACTAGAAAGAATAACTACTAGGTTGTCTTGTAACAGCCTGGATTTTCTGTAGGTAATTACCGGTATACTTATCTACTATACGTAGAAGAAACACAGTTGAAACACCATGAAAGAAAGAACTTCCATATTGATGAACTTAAAGATATTATATGATATTCTTTTTTTAGGGTAACAGTAATTATAAAATATAGCTTTTGTACAAAACATCACTGGATAAGTGTATAAATATACCCAAAGTTCACAAAACAATTATTAAATCTTGTTTACACATCTTAAACTTGCGGGTTCTGCTTTATCGAAAGAAAATGATTCCGAGTACTACGATACCCATCTCCAAATTTAATTCAACCGAAAAGGGTTAAGACAATACGCCGTCACTCACTAAAAACACTCAGAAAACTAACTTTATATTTGTAATGATTTATTAATCATCTCGATTACTCTATGAACGTCGATTTTAAAATTCGAACTGAGATGTGGAATTAAATTTTGAATTCATAATTTCAGGAAGTGCAGAAAAGAAAATCTTTGCAATATATGCATATTTTTCTGAAGATTGAACATTCCGATACTTTCTTTGAATGAGGGAAAAATCTTCATTTAAGAATTTCATTAAATATTATATTTTTGTCAGGCACCGGAAATTCACAAGATTTAGTCATTTTTGATATATTGATTTACATAGGACATTTGATGCATTTTTTCAGAATAATATTAACAAATAGCAACTGCACGGATATGATGAAGTTGACATATAAAGCTCATTTTTCTACTATTTATAAGCACCAATTAAAAAAGAAAAAGTTATACGCTTTTCGATTGTGTTATGGGCCTGCCCATAACTTTTTAATGATTATAAAATTCGGTGGTTTTTTTGTTGAACTTTGTTGTACGCTCATACATAAAAGTATTTTCAAGCCCTTATAATTCTATTTATTTCTCCAACCATGCAATGAAAATTCAAACCCAATATTGATTTTTAAAAACATGTATCTCTTTGCTCATAATACCGAATTTTGGCAACTAATTGAATTATTTAAAATTAACAATCGACTATATTCGATTATATTTTATGTTTTTGGAACGGAATCTCAATTTGTTTTCCAAGAGTATTTTCTTCTGGTTCTTACACGACCAATACACGTGTACTTCTTGCACGTGCAATAAATAATGCTGCGTAATTTAAAATAAGTTATTAAATATAGACTAAAGGATACTAGGTGTTCTGTTAGCACAAGTTCATTACGATTATAATCCTGCCTTGTAACAGAAAGTTGACAGTTCATCCGTATTTAACCCTATCAGTGCTAACCGTCGATATATCGACGCCACATGAACGTGCATAAAGTGCGGAGCGTCGTTATTGCGATGCTAGTACTATTGTGAAAAAGTAACGTTCAACATCTTCGGAAGAATGGTTCTAAATTCATACATTTTGTATTCGCATAATACAAAAGAATAAAAGATATCCCGACTACAATTTACTGGTCAAATAATCGAAAATATTGAGAAAAAGTGGTAAGAGGCTAAAAATATTCCAGAAACACCATCCAGATCCAAAAATCTTCACGCAATTTATGCAACATATGCAAAAATTACCTCAGCACTCAAAGGGTTAAACATAATTTATAATTAATATTTTATAATGTGTTATTAATTTCATTAACCTTTTACTGTAAGAATTTACACTGAATTTAAGGCATATATTAGTTTCGAAATGATGTTATGAAATAGGAATTGTGAAAAAAATTGAGCGTGGTATGTTCATATTTATATCTTAATATTCGTTCCACTCTTGATACCGAATTAATATACACACGTTTTATTAGCAAAAATTTCTGTTTCTATTGTTATGTTTATGTTTTCATTCATTCATTTCTGCAATTTACATTAACCATATATTCTATTCTATTTATAGGGCAACAAAACGTACCGATGCCTCCACGGCCATCAAGCAGCAGTCAGTCTGATTCGCAGCAACAACAGCAACAGCAGAGTCAACAGCAGCAACAGCAGAGCCCATCTTCACAGCCGTCTGCTACGCAGCAGCAGCAGATAGCGGCTCCTGCACGCGGCGCTGTTACACATTCTCCTTCGAGCCAACAGCCAGGGGCGTATTCGTATAAAATGGCTGCTTCACAACCACAGAGCATGCCTCCTTATGCGCCGCAGCAATATCCGCAAGGTAGTAACAGCTTAACCTAAACGTAAAAGCTATTTTCCTAAATTTTTCATAATAAATAAGATATAATTGGTAATGTTCTAACATATGACCATGGCCTCTATAATTGCTTGATTTTAAAGATAATGTGATAACACGATTTTTTTTTCAAATATTACACACGAAACTATTTGTAAAATATAAATTGGTGTAAATTTTTACTCAACACTAAGTACAAAAAGTGCATTTAACCACGCTATAAAAATGTTGTTCGAGGATAATACAGTAAAGCGTTAGACCAAAATTTCAAAACTTTTATATACTATTCTCATTACCTAAATATTTAGAAAATAATATTTTGAATTTATTTTCATTAATGGACAATAAAAATTGTAAGTATAATGTTGATGCAACCATTTCTTATTGCGGGAGAGTGTTTTCTATGGCAAAACTGTTTTGATATCTATATTAAAGATACAAATATGTTACAAAATCATCTTTAAACTTATATAAGCAAATAAAAGGCAAGAATTTGTTTTGTCATAAAATTCGACACATAACTTCATTATGTGAGAAATGAAATTTGTCTTAACTTCCTTACATAAAAGGTATATTGAATTAATTATTCAAAATTATAGGTAATTATTCTCCGCGGCCGCAATATGGTCCTGGCAATTACGGTGGTGCTTCGCAAGGTGGTCCTCCAGTGCCTAATAATAGTATGAGTGGTCCTGGTCAATATCCTAGTAGACCTGTACCTAACCATGCACAATTTCCTGGATATCAGGTAATTCAAAATTAATTTCTACAATTTTAATTTAAACCCCGTTATGCATTAGTATGAATATGAAAATGTGTTTAGTAGTACCAGTAATAGTTGAACTTAGAATGAGTTAAATAAAAATTTGATACACTTCTATATATGTAATTTAATCCATAATATCAAACTAGTTCATATTTTTGTTATATATTATATTTTAATTATTATATTAAATTTTAATTCATTATTCTACTTGGGTTTTTGTGGTGCACCGGTAAAAGCTTTTGCTTTGCAACTACAAGAATCCGAGTTCAAATTCTGTGCTACATGCAGCATTATATTAGGATGGAGTGATATTCATTTCCAGTTTTAATTTTTTACCAGGGTTTCTTGCTCATAAAAATTAATTTTCACAAACTGGAATGATTTCCAGGCGATTTGTCATGTCAAAGAGAATGTGATATTTTTTTTATGTCTCCTGATTCGATCATCATGTTCTGTTGCACTAGGAACAAAGCCATTATACTCTTGTCAAAGGTTCATGGAGCATACCCTATAAGTAATTATTTGTTTAACATAAGTATAATATTGAATTGTTTTGTTTAATCCTTTGTGGTCGAATTACATTTTGTGACGGGATATTATTTTACTGTTTTCCGTCAATAGAGCAGAACACACAAGTTCAGGATGTGTAAACAAAATTTAATAATTGTTTTGAGAACTTCATATATATTTAACTTCATATATTTTTATTCAATGTACTTATTTAAAAATACGTTTTAGAATAAAAGTTACAGTTATATAATAAGTGTATGCAATACGAATGCATACAGCACACACATAGTGCATCGCTATTGTGGCTGATCGCCCGCTCAAGTTTTTATTCACATAAAAATAATGATAAAATATATAATATAATGATTTTTTTCATATTTATTTACAAATGAGATGAAATATAATATATAATTTCATATTTATTTACAAATGATTGAAACATAATAAATATCAGAATTATTTTTGTAGTTTTTGTAATTTCATTATGCATCTGATATTAACTCAATAACTAATGGCTTTAAACCTATCCTATCAGATTGTTGAAAATGCAAGCATGAACACTAACTTAATTGTATTTTACAGAACTGGGGTCAGTCTGGCCAGATACCATCACAACCATCACAACAAACACCTCCTAGTAGCATGTTAGGGAATCATATTACACCAGGGGCACCGAGTGGTAAATCTGCATCTACTGGAGGACCTATTCCTCCATCTTCTCCTGTCAATACTGCTGGATCACCTATTCGGCCGCATTATCTCAAGCAACATCTTCAGCATAAAATGGGGTTTAATACGGCACCGAGTCCTTCGCCTCCACAAGGAGGTAAATATATAAATAGCAATCAACAAGAAACTTCACGGCTATGCGCTTTGTAATGAATACAAGATATTTGTCGACCAATTTTCAAACAACATTATAACTGTTTTTAAAAAATCTTGGTAAACACAATTCATTCAGAGCTAAGATTTACAACTATGTATACAAATTCATAATTAGTTCTGTAAAATTTTAGTAGCATGTGATTCTTAGTAGCAACTAAATGTTACTTTAGTTTTTGCTTCCAAAAAAGTTTGTGCAAAAGTAAATAAAAGAGCAAAGATTTGAATTTTGTTATGTAGTGTTTTTTTCAATTTTACTGAATATTATAAAATTGGTTTTAGGTTATAGTGTTGGATCAAATGGTCCAGGCATGGGGCCTCCCGGGGCGGCGGGACCGCCACCACCTCAACAACCATCTATGGCTCCGCCTCAGTCACAGCATCAAATGGGACCACCGCCTATGATGGGACCACCCAACATGGGTCCGCCTTCAAATTCGAGTCCTGCTCATGGTAATAGCGAGGGTGCGCCTGGACCTATGCCTCCACCGATGGCCGACGGCAGCAACACAGGACCTCAGGACAATGGAGTAAGTTCTTCTGCCTCCAGCCACTTGCAGCATCATCATCCCGTCACGTCATTGGTCACTACTGGACCAGATGGGCAACCTATGGATGAAGCCAGTCAACAGAGTACATTATCCAATGCATCAGCAGGTATTTTATGCATTTGCTATATGCAAATTTGTTTACTACAATTAGTGGACAAATGACTCAAAAGACATTTTATGTTTCTCGCCAATGACTTTTCTTATAGAGATGTAAAACTTTGAAATTATTTATTTTATTCTCTGAAAAATTTTGTATAAGTATTTTATGAAGAAAAATTAAATGTGAATTCATTACATGATTTGATTTTTGTTATTATCAATTACATTCTAATACAATAATTGCTTTTTTTTACTGTTTTCAATCTACTTGAATATACTGTATAAAATAATTCATCAATAAAATAACATCAGCTACCTAATACGAACAACTGCATAATTCAAGAATAGATACTTTTCTATTTAATTTATAGCTTACTTTTTTATTTTTAGGGCACATAATCTATTTATTTGTAACTGTTTTTTCTTTATCTTCCTTCTTGTTCTTTACTTTCATTTCATATGTTTCTCTATTTGTCAGCATCAGGAGAAGACCCTCAATGTTCAAGTCAAAAATCTCGTAAAGGTGGTGGAGATCTTGGCCCATATTCACATCCTCCATTAACGCCGTCAAATGCTTCACCTGGAACGCAACATGGTCATGATGATTATGAGCTCTGCTCACCATCATGGCCTAGGACACCAGCCAGCAGCCCTGTAAGTTTATTATTATATATGTATATGTTAGATTTTTTAAAAATAGAGATACTTTGTTTAATGTTGATATTCTTGAAAAAAAAAAATCACATCATTAATGATGTTTTTTTTTCCTTGTGAAATATGTAAACTAATTCAAATTTGTTATATGTATGTATATCTACATATATATATGTAATGAATCATATAATAATTATATATATTTAAGTTTAATTGGCTTTAGAAATTCTTTTTGCTGTATTGAATATTTGGAAACAGCAAATATATTTGTATTCTTTTGTTTTAAAATATTGTAATGCAAAAGTAACTCTATTGTTTTTTGTTGCAGATATACAACAGTCACATCCCACAGGAAAATTATAGATCTAAGGTATTCTTACATTTTATTTTTTAAATCTTTTTTTTTACTATTTAGTATTCTTTTATATAATTTTCAACTTTATCTTTTAAATTAACCTACCACATTGATTGCTCATTTATTCAAGTCTAGAAGTTTCTAGTCAAAATATTCCAGAATCAGTATAAATAACGCTTTGTTTTATTCTTTTTTAGAAATCTGACTCATTGTCAAAATTATATGACATGGATGATTGTCCGGATAGGCGACTTTGGCTGGACAAACTGCTGAGTTTTATGGATGAGCGTAGGACACCAATATCAGCATGCCCAACAATATCAAAACAACCTTTGGATCTATACAGACTTTATTTGCTTGTACGGGAGAGAGGCGGTTTCGTCGAGGTATGCAAGGTGCCGTGTAGTTCCATTAACTTAGAGACACGTAGTATTTAGTTCTATATCATGTGAAGACTTTTTCTTTGTTAATTTTGTGAATTATAATTTTTAAATTAATGTGTTTTTTTTATTAAATAAGTATTATTGATCAATTTAATAGTAGTTAATATATAAAAACAGAAAAAGAATTATTGTTTTGTTAATACTTCAACAATTAAATTAATTTAAACATTTTTTAATATATGAATGTGGAACAAATAATGAAGCAACAATTGAAATTGATGTGATGTTGGTTTGAAGACTAAAATTACATATTCATTTCCTTTTGCATCATAGTTTTATATTTCTGTGCATAGTTTTTTATATAATTATCAAATATGACTTCACATGATGTAGATGCAATAGCTCCACTAACACACCTGCAGTCCGACTTGTACATATAAAATAATGTCAGATTCTGGTGAGAGACACAAGAACATTTACATTTTTGGAAATTTTAAATTATGTTAAAACAAAAATGTAAATTGTGTGTTATAATTCTTGGGCTTGCTTTTAGTCATTTATTTTTAATTTTCTTCAATCTTGAATATAAGTTTTTGCGCACGTTTTTCATTGCTTATTGCTCTAATTCTCAAAGCAAATAATGCATTTTGTCATATCCTATTGGTGTCTATTCTATATTCTATTAATTGCTAAATAGTAGTATAGAAAATATAGTGTATATCCTATATAAGTTGAAATATTTGAAGTATTATTTGCATTTTAGATGCAATGTTTGAATATTTTGGAATTAATGAATTGTAGATTAACATTCAGTTATATATTTAATTTAAATATATACTACTAGAGTTGGGTACTAACACTCTAAAAGGTAGCGATGGCAATATTTCAATAGAAATCTTTAATTTTATTTATAGAGTAAAATATAAATTTTTGTGTCCACATCATGCTTAACAATCAACTGATTGCACTTCTTACTGAATAAAATGGTAACTAAGAGTGTAAAATATTATTAAAAGTGAAGTAGTTTTTTTTTTGAAGTTCTTCATATTTTGAGCATTATATAGAATAAGCTGTTGTAAATTTAAATTGCAATTATGTTAAATTTTAATATATTAGAAAGATTGGCTTAAGATTATTTAAACATTGTCAGTATGAAGTATGTTCAGTATATATAGCAGTGCACATATTTCAAAGTCATAATATTCTGGGGATACATACAGTACATGTTGTGCCATATTACTTTCAAGTACTAAATATATATATATATATATATATATATATATATATATATATATATATTAGGGTGGGTCGATTTAAAAATCACTTAGGCACTTACGATTTTCGGATTCTAGGGATCAAAATAAGATACTTTGCTCAATAAACCATACCTCTAAAATGAATTTTGTTATCCTGCAAATATTCAAGCTCATCAAAACAATATTATTCAATACCTTGTCAAAATCATACAATTCAATTGTTACATTTATTATCACCCTTACATTTGTGTCATTAGGTGACAAAAAATAAAACATGGAAAGATATAGCTGGGCTTCTTGGTATTGGCGCTAGCAGTAGTGCAGCTTATACTTTAAGAAAGCACTACACTAAGAACTTGTTAACATTTGAATGCCATTTCGACCGCGGTGGAATAGACCCTGGTCCAATTATACAACAAGTAGAAGCTGGAAGCAAAAAGAAAAGTGCCAAAGCAGCATCAGTTCCTTCACCAGGTTAGTTGGCATTATATTTATTTTTTCTTAATTTATAGAAATGTTTATTGGTTTTGATGCTAATAATAATCACTCAAAGCTATTTATAAACTACAAAGTTTAAAACTGCAACAGTAACCTCTACAGTTATTTAAAATATGAATTTTTAAGATTGTTTTTGCATAGCTTCATCTGAAATATTGTCAAATATTTATTACGAGGTCTGTTCAAAAAGTACCCGGAATTTTCGTTTTTTCAAAAAAATATTTATTTATTCGTCTACATTAATGTGGTCCCCTTCAAAGTAGTCCCCCCAGATATAATACACTTATGCCAGCGTTTTTTCCAATTTTCGAAGCACCCTTGATATTCACTTTTTGATATGTCCTTGAGCACTCTCAGCGATTTTCTTCAATCGAGGAAAACCGCCGTCCTTTCATGGGTCTCTTCAACTTTGGGAATAGGAAAAAGTCACACGGAGCCATATCTGGTGAATTTTTGCACTTTGCAACACTTTATTTCATTTTTTACGCAAAATTTAATACAAATTCTTTGACTTTTCAATTCTTCCATTGTAAAAATCGCCGAGCTCAGAAAAACACGTCGAACCTTAGCGACTACCACAGACAAAGTAAACAGTGAATATAGCTGAAAATTTTATCATACTTTATGGGCATGTATACCAACACAATAAAAAAAAAATTTTGACAATCAGACACTCCAGACCCGCGAAATTTAATTATTAGTAATTCCGGGTACTTTTTGAACACACCTCGTATATCTAATTAAAAATTGGAAGCTGGTCTAATAGAATTGATATTTAATGATAACAAATATTATATTATTTATTATAACATAAAATTATCTGATCTATATATTAATAAAAATCTGAGTATTTCTATATTTGTTTTCAACAGCATTGATAATGCATCCATTTTATTCTGTAATTTTTTTTATTGATGAATGATATATACATAATATTGAAAACGTATTACTTTTTTATCTACTTTACTGATCTTCAGTTATTTATTACTTAAAAGTGGCAAGTGCTTAGTGCATTTATTCTAATATGTGTGTATATATATTATATTTATGGTTTTTGTTTAATTGTTTTTAAAGTATATTTATTAATGAATGATAGGGTCATCAAATTCACAAGATTCATTTCCTGCTCCTGGTTCAAGTGGGGCATCTTTAGATGGATATGGTGGTTACGGTTCTAGTTACCCATTAGGTTCTGGTCCTGATTATAATTCATCTAATATGTCTAGGCCACCATCTCAAACTAATTCTCAAATACCACATCCAGGTTAGTTAACAATACATTGTAAATTGTTTATCATTTATTTTGGATATGAAACTCTAGGTAAGATGTGTATTGAAGTAACTTCAATTATTTAAAGTTGGATTTAGCATTCATTATTAGGAAACTTTTCAAAATTTATGGTTTTTTATATAACTTCCTTCAAACCTAAATTTCTAATTTCTGGGTCATTGTATATTATCATCTCATTCTATCATTTTTAGGCTATTGGCATATTCATATAATCATATTATTTCTATTCAAGTGTGTTACAAGATTTCATTTTTTCTGGTTTCTTTTATTTTATTTAAATTAAACAAAATCATAGTTTAGTTGCAATATTTTCTGCATTCCTACTCATTTCCTGCATCACATTTTCATTTATTTTAAAAATAATTGTTATATTTAAAGAGATTTTTAGTTGCATTAGATTTTTTTGTAAAATAGTGATTTTTGTGTGTTTGAGTATTAGGGTACATGTATGCAGAAAATTAGATAATTTATTTCTTTATTTGAAGTGTACTGTATTAAATTTATATTTTATTACCTACTATGTAATTACTGAGCAAATGTTTGCCATGCTAGTCAAATTAAGCAGTATAGTGCATATGGCCGTAGTGTAGTTTCAGAACTGTGAAATCTTATTTGTGAGTTAACATAATCAAAACTGTCTGCGGTGTTGTTTGAGGGTGTTTGTGATTTTTTAAATCAGGTAATGCAACATCAGGAGACAACATAGCAGTTAGCAATCCATTTGATGATCCTGTAGGAACAACTAGGAGCAGTCCTTATCAACCAGGAAACTCACCTTATCGACAAGGTTGATATTAACTCTCCTTAATTTTCTTATTGTTTTTCTGAATGTTTTTACTTTGAATGAATCGTTGTATTATTTTATTTGAGCTGATATCATAAACTTTATGCTTGCCTCTATTTATGAACATGATTTGATGAGATTGTTTATCAATAGGCTTTAAATATTTGGGATAGGACCTATAGCCTTAAATGCTTATGTTTTCAGTTGCACTCTATATGTTTGTTTGGAAATTGATTGCTTGCTTCGAGCAGGTTTTATGGTAGAACTTTGAATTTTGTAGTTTTGTAATCCAATTAATTTTAATGAAAAATGGTTATACTATTTTCATATGCTAGATTGTTTTTTTACCACCCATTTTTTAGCTTCTTATCATCTTGTAATCTGCTTATTATATTGCTATCATATTCATTTTCATTTGGTAGTTATATCATGATCTTTTTTTATTATTATAAATTATTTTTTACAATATAATTATGAATACATTGTCATTTGATATTGGTATAAATTGGATCATATTTTATTTCAGCATCGCTACCAGTTTTCTACCAATATTTGAACGTGTGCTATCAAGAAATAGTTTCAAAATATTTTATTAGAAAAATTTAATTGATATGTGGGCATGTTGGAATATAACATTTGTGTGATTTGGAGTTTCATATCCTTTCTTCTATTATATGTATTTAGTATTATTGTGTAACTTAATTGATCATATTAACATATATATTTATTTATGAAATATTACATGTGATTATATGAAATAATATTGATATTACACTTTTTTAATTTTCATATTCTACATATAAGTTTAGGTTTTAAGATCCTACATAAAATTTTTATTTTTTTACAAGTATTATCTTTTCGTTAAAGGAATGCAACAAGGTGGGCCTTATCAGAGCCAGCAAAGTGGTTATGGTGTTCCATACAGCGGTCCTCCTGACCAGTATGGGCCTGCACCTGGGCCCCCTGGCCAATATACTTCAGGTCCTCCAGGGCAATATCCACCTGGAAACAGGCCTGTTTATCAGCAGTATGGACCTGAATCCACAGATAATAGGTATGTATTATCTGGTAATTATGTTACTTAATTACATTTCTATATGAAACAAGACTAAGCTAAATGAAATATTTGAATATTATTATATAATATGTAATATGAATATTTATGGCAAACTAATTTTAGTTTGCAATTTTAAATTTTTGTATTGTATTGTCAGAAATTTAAGTCAACTATTTACTAAATTTTCTTTATATCATTGTTTGTTATCCATTGTGATACTGCATTTAACCACTTCGTTACGGCGCCTTTTTTTCTCGAAACGTCGCTCACAGGCATTAACTGTCTGCTATCTTGTTTGTCAACTGATATGTGATGTTAAACTTTAAAACACTCAAAAATTATTTTACTTACAATTGGAATGTAATGTAAATAAAAAAATCTATAGTTTTTATTATGATATTTCTTTATTATACAATATTTATATTTATACAATTTTATTTTATTTATATTGTATTATAAAAACGAAAAATACGTGAATTTAAACTAAAATAATTCTATTTTTAATTGTTCAAATTATGATTTTTCATATAACACAATAAATGTTATTGATAAAACTAAAATTCATGTGTGTGGCATATAAATCGATGCTCGACCGTGCACGTTGTTTTTCTTCACAACTAAAACTTTTTCTTTTCCCTATTGGTTCATTGTTCACCTGCAGACATGAAGTCAACATACAGACGGTATTTGTTGCATTTGTCACAATTCAAATAACTCAAAATCTTTATAATTCAAAATTGTCTAATTAAACTGCTGATAACATCAGACTCCAAACATCGTTTTTTTTAAATATTTTTTAATAAATTACAAATAATAAAATATGTTTATAAATTATGGCAAATTTGTATATGTGTGAATATATAATATATTTGATGTGTGCATTCTTAGTATCTGTATGCCAACATTTATTAAATATTACTGATTTAAAAAAAAGTAAATCTTCATTTATAGAAAATTTTGTATAATTTTGTAGTGCTAATTTTTAATATGAAAAATCGGAAAAGCCTACCTAGTATTTATTGCAAGGTTCGAGAACAAATTTTAAAATGTACATAAATGAGGTCAATAATTTTTTTAAATTACGTTTTGTACTTATGCATATTAAATATTTTAAATAGTTGAGCAAATAAAAGCGTTAATTTGTAATTAATTTCAGAAATCAATACAATACACCGCCGAGCGGTGCACCTACACCACCCGCCGCAGCGCAACCCGGTACAACGGATCCTTACAGGAATTACGCTTCTAATAGTGGCAACTATCCGCCACCTCGACCGTACGGTCAACCAAGTTCAGGCGCTCCGACCGCCGCTGGTCCTCCAGGTCCACCAACCACTCCTTCTGCTACTGGTCCTAGTACTCAGAGCTCGAGTACCACCACACAAGGCACCCCCAGTGGTCCTGCAGGCGCTTACCCTCCACCTCCACCCAATGCACAGGATTACTACAGGCAACCACCACCTGATCAGGTAATTTGCAATTTTATTTGGTTTATAATAAGACAAAGTTTGCATAGCATTTTAATTTGAGATCAATACATTTAGTGGGAATAGAATCTGTTTGTTCATTGAAACAATTATTTTATTGGTCAAATGTAATAGTGATAGCTGATAACTTGACTTGAATTACTTATTTAAATTGTTAGATAACTTTTATTACTTGTTTAATTGACATATTCTAAAACAACAAAATAGGTTGTAAATTAATTTATTGCTGTATAATATGTTTATATATTTTCTAGGCCAATAGACATCATTATAATACAACACTTTTAATGCATTCTTCGGATGTTTGACTCTGACATTTAATTCTATTCTCAATATCAATTAAGCAATGCATTGCAATCTTTGTTTTTTTTTTTTTTTTTAGAAGACAGTTTTATCTTGTACTGTATTATTAGTCAAAGTATGCTGTGTTAGTCTATAAAAAATAATAGTTACTGTTAAGTGTTTAGAGTAAAGTTACTTTTCTGTATGCTAAATATATAAGTAATTATATCTATCATTTGGGACATAATTTATGTTGTCAAATATGTTTTCACAAGTTATACATTACACTGAATATAAATGTGCCAAAATGCATTTAAGTAATCAACATGTGTACTAACTTTATAAATGAGTTGATTTATATGCTTTGGTGCAGCATACCATTAAAATATTGTATGTACGTGTATATATATATATATATATATAATCTATTTAATAATCAATGTTAACTAAAACTATGGTAGATTATTATTTTTTTGTGAGAGTGAAAATTTATATAGGTATTTTATATCTTACTCTCATGTATATATTTATTTGCATTATGTAAAAACTATGCTGCTGTGTAGTGTATAGTTTGTAGAATGTAGATCTTACAAATATGATTGATATTAATTCATGAAATTAGTTAGTTTTTATATTGTTTTTTTTTAGCACCAAGCTAAAAGTAATAACTTTTTGCATTTTTATAAGATTAGTTTTCATTTCTATGCTTGTATTATTATTTTGTGAATGTCAATTTGTAGATCTCTCAACCTTCTGTAAACCTGAGCTCGCAATTAGCGAGACAATTGATAGCGCCTTTGTCTCCAGCTAAAACGTCCTACCACGTATGTTATGTTTTATTTTAATAGAATTTTTATAGCATATGATTGCATCAAGTAACTGATCATACTTTGTGCTTATTTAATTATTTCTTCAATCATTCATGTAAAATATTACATGTTCATATTAATTAATTATGCACTTTTTTTAAAAACATTTGTTAACATTAAACAAATGTAATTATCATAGTTACTAATACTTCATGCTTTTTCATTTTCCTTCAAAAAAACAATCTTGATATAAACACACTGCACTATTCACTATTAAATTCACAAATGTTTCGAGACTATGGTTTGTATTTTATCATCAGTGTAATATATTCAAATGATTTTTATTTAAATGAGGTCACAAATTCTACAAGAAATAAATTGTTCAATGGCATATAAATAATGAAGGTTTGAGCAATACAGTGGTTTTACAATTTTTGCTCATTGTTAAAATTTTTCACCATTCACATTATTAGAATGGCATACGTTTTTATAACATTGTTTTTATGATGCTAATTCTATTCATATTTTTTGTTTCTATTATAACAACACCTATGGCAATTTGGATCCTATCCACATGTAAAAGTTCAGAAATTTATATTTGCAAAAATCATATTTAGACTGATAATTATTAGATAAACCATAGTTTTGTGGCTGTTCGAATACCCTAAACACCATTTAATATAGTTTATACATATATTCAATTGTATATGTACACATATATACAATTGACTGTTAATTGTATGTATGCATGTGTGTGTTTGTGTCCGTTTATATAAATGCACATGCGCATATATACATAGGCATGTATCTGTGTATGCAATGTGAAGGTATGCAAATAAATACTTGCAGTGTAAACAAAAGTTACAAAAGTAGTGAAACCATGCACAACAGGTGAATATAAATGCATGCTCAATACAATATTTTTGCTTGGTACCATTTAATCTTATATTTAAATAATTCATGTACAATATAAAATTGTTTTAATAGGCCTATGGAAATTCTGCTCCTGGAACTCCCGGAAATAAAGGAATGCCACCTCCTGCTGTTTCAGCGCAACCGAGAAGGCATCCTGATTTTGCAAAGGACACTCAGCAACCATATCCTCCTTATCAACATAGACCTCAGATGTATCGTAAGTATATAAACAATAATTTGTATAATTGAATAATTTAATATTGAGTAAATCGCATGAAGAGAAAGTGTTATATATCTAATGCTATCATTATTTGATTTTTATGTGTATTGTAGCAGGTTGGCCTAATAATTCTGGTCAATATCGAGGACAATATCCACAACAAAATGCACCTCCACCTCAACAGTGGAATAACACCAGTAGTAGGCCTCCTGGTGCACAGCCTGGTCCACAATGGGATCAACATAGATATCCTCCAGGAGTACAATTACCATATCAGCCTCCACAACAGGTAAATTTATTATATTTTTTAAATAGGGAATTCCTTGTATAATTTAATATGAACAGCTTATCATTAAGATAAATGAAAACAGTGTGATTTTCTTCTTCATAAAATAATTTTGAATTCATATACTTGAATTCAAGCAAGTTTATTTATGCTTAATTTTCAAATATTGCTAACTTCATTGAGTGTGAATAGAGTATCAGCTATTACACCGTTATCTTAAATGTTTTTAACAATGGAAAATGGAAATAGAAACATCATTCTTATACTTGCTATGTCAATATTTTCTTTTGAATATATCTCAACTTTCTAATATTATTTCCACAGAGTCAACAACAATGGCCACCAATGTCTGCACAAGGGGTAGCTCAAAGCTCACCTTTGAGGCCAGCTCAACGACCTCCTTTTAGACCAGATGGCAAAGGAGCTTATATGCCGCCACCTCAGCAACAGAATAAACCAGGAACAGCAGTAGGCGCTTATCCTTCATCAACGGCCCCCAAGAGGGAACTGGTTTTTCCTTTGGACAGCGTAGAAGCAACGCAGCCTGTACTTTACCGAAGGAAAAAGCTCTGCAGAGGGGATGTCGCTCCAGTAGAGGCTTGGAGAATTATGATGGCTTTGAGATCAGGTCTACTTGCTGAAACGTGTTGGGCTCTAGATGTTCTCAATGTTTTATTGTATGATGATTCCTCAGTTGCTTATTTTGGATTAGTGCATATGCCCCAACTTTTAGAATTGCTTTTAGAACATTTCCAAAAGAGTTTAAAGGATGTATTTGACCCAGTAAAAGATCTGAAAAACATATTCAAACTTTCCAACACTGATACTACAGAAGTAGATCTAGGAGCAATGAAACCGTCCTGTAAAGTTGATCCGGAAGACAGGGAAGTGTATTTAAAAAATCAATCTATAAACTATTCATTAATATCTCGAAAGGGTGTGCCAGTCAGAATAGAAGATAATGATGATGAAATATTTGTAACGGATACTGTGAAAAAGTGGGATGTTCAAGGAGATGACTCCAGTTACAATAGTTTAATAATGCATGGCACTGATCCTTGGCAGACGGGTCAGTCCGAATTAGTATCGCGTGATTATATAATTGACTGTTTTCAAGCTGAATTCGTAAACATTCCGTTCGCCTGTCAGATGAAATCTACAAGCAATAGTAGTGTGTGTAATGGTGATGTGATTAGGACTAAAAATATTGACGATAATGAAGTTTCAACAAAAATTAAAAAGGAACAACTAGATATAACTGAATCTGTGATGAAGAGAGATGATTTTATGGATATGGATATGAAATTGATTGACGATACAACAGAAAATAATGTAGATAGTATGGAATCAAAATTTTTAGAATATAATATAAATGTGCGTGATCCAGCCGGCACACTAAAACGGCGTAGAATGAGTGATTTTGAAGATGAGTGCTATACAAGAGATGAATCCAGCTTATATCTAGTTACTGAGAGTCAGGACTCCATGGCTAGGCGCTGTGTGTGTATTTCTACAATTCTCCGTAATCTCACATTTGTGCCTGGTAATGAAATGGTATTTGCAAAAAGCAGCACATTTGTAGCCTTGTTAGGAAAATTATTGCTTTTGCACCATGAACACCCTGTTCGTACTTATAAAACTAGAAATTATGACCGAGAGGAAGATTCTGACTTTACTGATTCTTGTAGTAGCTTACAAGGTGAAAATGAATGGTGGTGGGATTATTTAGTACACATACGTGAAAATATTTTAGTGGCCACTTCAAATATAGCAGGTCATATGGATCTTGGGATATTAGATGAAGAAATATGTAGACCCGTATTAGATGGTTTATTACATTGGGCTGTTTGCCCTTCAGCACAAGGTCAAGATCCTTTTCCAACAGTTGGTCCTTCATCATTGCTATCTCCACAGCGCTTGGCATTGGAGGCCCTGTGCAAGCTTTGCGTTACCGATGCCAATGTGGACTTGGTTATAGCAACTCCACCATTCTCACGTCTAGAAAGGTTATGTGCAGTGTTAACGAGGCACCTGTGTCGGAGTGAGGATCAAGTGCTGCGAGAATTTTCAGTAAATCTTCTGCATTACTTGGCCGCTGCTGATTCTGTGATGGCTCGAGCTGTAGCTTTACAAAATCCATGTGTATCATTGCTGGTTGCATTTATTGAGCAAGCAGAACAGGCTGCATTGGGAGTAGCTAATCAACATGGAATTGCAATGTTAAGAGATAACCCAGATTCAATGGGAACAAGTCTGGACATGCTGCGAAGAGCTGCTGGCACATTGTTACATCTAGCTCGGCATCCTGACAATCGGCCTTTGTTTATGCAGCAGGAGCAACGTCTTCTGGGTCTGGTCATGAGTCAAATTCTTGATCAACAAGTGGCCGCCATTATCTCACGGGTGCTATATCAATGCTCTGCTTCTACGTAGTGTGTATTTTTATTAATGGCTGATGGGTTATAAATATAAAAAGCACATTTAATAAGATTACATTTGTAGATATAAAAACAAAAGGATTTCCTTTACATTTGACTGGAGTATAATTGAACTGCCTTGCCTTCTGAACTTTTTTGCAGATAGACTCTAGTGTAAATTATTACAGAAATACATATTTCTGTTATGTACAGTGATTGTGAAGACAAAACTCCTGGTTTTAATAAATGTAACTGCATGTTATTAATAATAATTAGGATAAATAATGATATTTTATAAAATGTAATTAGTAAAACCCTAACTGTAAATGCAAACTTTGTGTGTAGTGATAAAACACAAGAAAGAAGAGACATTAAAAGCATACATATTTAAATATAGTGTATGTGGTATATTCTTGTATACGTATATATGTATAAAATACTGTACATATACACATATATGTATATCAGCATAGGCATGTACCATCGTATGTCATGTATGTATAAAACATAAAATGTATATAATGATATTCAAACATAAGACACTTTATAGTTCAGTGGTTTAAGTGAGGAAGCGGAAAAAATTTTAAATCAGTTTTCATGTATATTGGTGACTTAATCTCTTGACAGAATTGACATTTGTAGCATTTTTTAGGCTGTCTCAGACATAACCCACTTAAATCTCTAAAATCTGGTATTGATCTGTCTACTTGTATTTATTTGTTTAATCTTGAAGTTTGATCAGTCTCAAGATTTCATGTTTGGTATTATCCTTGTGCAAATGCTTTATATATGTCTGAATTATTAAAAATAAATAAATGTACATAATAAGTACTCAAAGTAAATAAATATAATTGTATTATTTGGTATAGGTTGATAATTATTTATAAATATTTGAATACAAATTTTAAAAATTAATATATGATTTAAATCTATTCTTACAACTCATATATTAATCCCATACATGTGTGAATTCAATTTACATATATATAATCTCTACTTTCAGATCTGTTGATTTTTTAAAAGTTACTAAATGAATGCTCTGTTGCCAAATTATCAACAGATTGTAACACTTGCTTCAAATCTTCAAATATTGGACAATTGGAAAATTAAACAAGAGAAAGGCTTAAAACTTTAGAAATCGGTTTGAAAAATACATATATATTTTAGGTATTTTGTAGGTAATTTAATGAAAACATGTTTATCAGAATAGTGAGGGTAATCTATCACATTCTTCACTCCTGCTATTGTAGATGATAATGATGGTTATAGTATGATGTTGTACTCTTGGATTCTTGAGTGTTCAAAAATGATGTAGTTGGTAGAAAAAAAATAGCTCTAGTAAAAAAAGTAAAACTGTCATTATGCTTTATTCATCAATATATTTCTGGTCCTATTTGGTTAGATGTGCTAATTTCTGGTATAGCTAGTTAATTATTGTTCATATATACTAAAGTTGACTGCAGGATTAAAAATCGTATCTGAATTGTACTGGGCTATATTGGGAATAGTTGGTGGTGGATACAAATTAGGTTCTGCTAAAATTGTGGAATATTCAAGTAAATTTTCATAGCTATTACATACTCGAACTTGTGGATGTATTCTTGCATATGGAGGAACTACAATATTATTTAGATCAGGCATCATTTTAGAATCATAAATAGTAGTTAAAAGAGGTCTCATAAATTGTTCTGGCAAAGCGAAGTGCACTACCTATAGCCAACAGGTGACCTAGTTGGCATATCAATCATTGAGGCATTAAAAATGGGCAATGTGTTAACTGATCTATTCCAGTAAGAGGGTTTGGCGAAGTTTGTCGTTATATTATAATAAGATCGCTTTGGAGGAGTAAGATATGACGCACGATTTATGTTTGATGGGAACAAGCGCACTATTGGTTGAGCCGTTGATGTATTTGTACATATAATTAAGTCATGGGAGCATAAAATTGCATTTCTTAAATTTAACTTTTCTGAACTTGTGCAAATGATATCTCAATTATTTGGATGGCAGAAGCAACAACAGCCGCAGCACGTCTTGCGGTTTGTGCAGATCACTACTTCTGTTTCGCTCAGGTCATTTAAAAGCGGTAGGTTCATTTCTGCAAATGATTGGCCATTATCAAAACAAGAATCAACGTTTTAATTTGATTAATATTATAATGTAATTATATAATTTTTGATTCATGTTTTTGTATCACATATTTTTATCTGAACAATATGTCTGAGTTTATTATACTAATATTATAACTATGTTTCAAAATTATATAAAACTATTTATTATGCTAAATTACTTGCCTGATATGAATATATCATATTCTAACATTGTCTAGGATTACTCGTTTTACTTATTCGCGAATAGCATCAATAAGAAATATGAAATTTTTAAATAAGAAATATTTTGAATGCATATGTTTCTATTAGTCCTGGCCTTCATACAATCAAAAAAACAAACTAAATATGCAACATGCAACAGAGTTTTAGAAATAAAAAATATGTCAACTTTAGATTTCAAATTATATGTATATTTTTATGTTATTTTTATGTATGTAATGTTATGTATGAAATTGAAAACAAAACAGACTGAATATTTGAGAAAAGTAAACTTTTCAAATTAAATGGAGTTTACCCGTGTGCTTGGCAGCACTGGCTGATGAGCTCGATTATTTTTGTGCCGTTTGGCAACACTGCCATGATAATTGCTACAATAATTTTTCTGTTGTGCATTTCTGCATCTTGTATCATAGTAACGAATTTTTAGTTGTGGTGGCTTCGTAGTCAATTTAGTAGTGATACGATTGCATTTCAGTTAGTGGTGTGTTAAAGGTGCATATTTAACAAGATGAATACTTACAACTATCACGATGGAACAAATTCTAGCAGGTAAATTGCATTCATACCGTTGACAGATGATCATTTTAAAATGGCAGTTTTTTCATGTAAAATAAAAAATGTCGTGTTTTAGGTCATTGCGATTCCTTTAATGTATTTTTATTATGTGCATATTTTAATTTTCATAACATACGCTTATTAACGTTTCAAGTCGCATTTGTTTTTTATTATATGGTAAATGTAAAACCCGTTTAGCTATATGCATGTTTTTTCTAACCTTAAATTTTGAGTCTCAACATTCTAGAATAGAATTAGTAACCATTATGCTTTAGATTAAATAAAATTTGCAAACAAGTGTTGCATGGGACTCAATTCAACAGAAGTAGCATTATTTTTAAACGTTTTCATTTATTTTTGCCCTCATTTCAAATAGATTTTTTCTTAGGATTTCACTAATTAACATGATTAGATATAGTGAAAATTGTATACATATCAGCATAATGTAATTATTTTTTGCTTTATGTGAGGATTCAAAGTTGTTCATCGATTATACTTCTAATTGATTATAAATCTAATATCCAATAACTATCTAATCAATTATCTTAATAAATACCTTTTTAACTTAGAATAACTTAAAAACTTAGAATTTCTTATTTATAAGAAATGCAGGAATTTTAATATTTGCTTCGACTAATAATCGTATTATTATGAATTATGTTATACTATTCGTAATAACTCTGATGCATAGTCCAAATTATATATATATATATATATATATACCCAATTTTTTTTAAAATGCTTATCTGGAGCATTTGTAAGTTGTGAAAAGTTGTTCTTTAATTTTAATTAATGTTGCTGTTTTAGTACATGACATCTTACTTCTTTGATGTTTGCTGCTGGTTGGTGAATTGTTTTCAATTCTTCAAAGTTAAGTTTCATGAAGGCCTTTGATTACTAGACATACAATGATAAACTGTGGATTTGGAGACTTCAAATCCATTTTGTGCAGTAGATAGAACTCGAGATGTGAAGATCTGTCTTTGACTAACTTGATACATTTATACTCTAAAAAATACAAATGATTCAAACAAATTTTCATCAGGAATTGCAATGAAAAGTTGTATCTGTATAGCAGTGTGTAACACACTTTATTCTATTATATATTCCTAAATGATTCCAGAAGTTTTATGTGTTATAAAACTATTGCATTTCTATTTTATCGTACCTAATAATTTTACAAAATTTATTGAATTTTAAAACAATATTAAATTTAAAATAGAATGCTTTATCTTTCTGTATGTTAGTGCACTCAGTTGAGCCAAATTAAGTCATATTCTGTGGATCTTATTTGTATGTCGAGAGGTATTAATCGACATTTAATGTGTATTCCAAAGACAATATTTTCATATGGTGAATTTAATGTATTCATATGGTGTAATCTTTTGTTTCATGGGGTAGCTATTTTTATTTGCTTAGATGCATAGAATTGTATGAATTGCATTAACCTAATTATTAACCAAAATAATTACATTCAATAACAAGAACATTTTTAATAACTGATCTTAAGAAAATATTTTATATCTCACTTAGAAACATTAACATAACATATTTCTAGAAGAATTAACATATTTCTGGGGTACAGAGTAATATTCAAATTTTTTGCATTTATTGTCACATCTAAATAGTAGTACTGCAATTTTAAATTTTGTATCTGAACTTTGTTTATGAAATTGAACGCTTAAATATTTTGAACTTTGTTAGATTTTATGAAGTGAATGGATACAATTACCATACCAATAATATATACATGTCATTTTTGTCATGATGTTAGTTCTTCTTTTATGCAAACGGTTTCACTGATTTTTATGAAATTGTGTAATCAATAATAATGTTTAGTATGAATGAAAATTGTACATCCATTTTTCATAACCCTTATTGTTAGTGCTGGGGGTTGTCCACCTTTAAGATTCTTCATCTTTTGGACAAATCTCTTATTTTTTTTGTAATCCATGATTTAAAAAAATTACACAGGCCTAAATTTTCATCCTTCTACCACAAATCCCAATTTTGTAATAGTCATTTTAGTAACTGAATAATGTTTCCCTTTCATCCCGCTTTAAGTCAATGGATGTTCTTTGCTGAATTTCTATCAAGATTTTGTTTAGGTTTTTATGGAAAATTTTAAATCTTCTTTCAAAAACCAATTTATTTTGATTAAGCGTTGTCAGTATCTTTTTAAATTGTCTCTAAAACGGCTGAACTGGTGTCAAAAATTTAAAAGCTATTCGATGAAACTTGTTGTGGGAGTCGCTCTGATGATAGTCCAGTCATTACATTAAGTTCACTTCGGAATTCGAGATACCCAGCTGTACGTCTGTAAATACATGTATATTGACACCCTAAAGTTGTCTCAAAACCTACATTTGGTATTGACACTCTACTATGTATATGTAGTTTTGAGACAACTTTATGATGTCAATATACAAGCATTTACAGACTCACAGCTGGTTATCTTGAATTCCGAGATTCTTGCCTAATTCAAGCTTAAATGACCGGACTATTAGTTTTTGAGTTACTTGCCTAGCCATATCTAGGCAGTATCTTCTCTCGGACTTTGAACATTCAAGAGTGTCTTTAGAATTACCAGAAAAGTGCAAAACTTTCGTCCACGTTTTCGCAAAAAATCTTTAACCAATGACGATTTAAAAGCCGATCGCAAGGTATCATTTGGTGCTGATTATTTTTGGGCAAGGGCCAGCGGTGGCGTTATCGGATAGAGCGTGGGCTAGCACCAACTAGTCCCAGGTTCGATGGATCGATTCCCGCTACCGCCAAGCCTGGCATCAGGCAGCTTTGATGTCAAATTTCTATTTGAGATCATAGATCTCAAATATAGCCTCAAGTGAAAATCGCCTCTCGTGGGTATAGTTGCACATATAATAAAGATGTCAGCAAATACTTCGAGTATAGATAATTAGTCCTTATACCTAGTAGACACACCGCTGGGTGTTTGTAAGATAATCATTGATAGCAATCTCTGCTTAATGTTAATGCTCATATAAAACAGATTGCAGAATAAATTAAAAAAAAATTTTTTTTTGGCAAAGATCGTCTGGGTCATTTTTTCGTAAATAAATGTATTTTTTTAGCATTAACGTAATTAAATGTATTCTTTTTTAATTTAACATGCTGGTAAAGTTCATGGTCTAAAGTTCTAAATGAACATTTTAAAATATTATAGTTCTACAAAAAGTCGCTGAAATTTATTTAAGTTTGGTATAACGGGCCGCACTTTGACATGCAAGCGCATGTTTGTTCACTATTATTAATATATTTGCTTTATCAAAATAAATGAAAATTTTATATAAATAGCCGAAGTAGAATTACGAGATTTCAGTTTCGACAATTGGTTATTTGTCCGTCTTAATGTGGATAATAATACTCCAATTTAAATTTCTGCACTCCTTCGTCTGCATTTAGCAGACAATTATTGGATGCTGCATGTTTATATCACGATCTGTTATCGGGCTTGCTGGGTACACATGCTAACGGAAGCGGTTACTATATTAAATTTAGGCTAATATTTTTCAAATAACGTTGGCCTGAATGCTTGTTCGACAGAGACCGTGTGCATTATATGTGCAAATGATTATAAACGCCTCATATTGATGGCCGTCGAACTGTGACTATAATTTTCAATTAGATTTCTTTCTTTTGTTATTTTTTTATTGAACATTGTAATTATTTCATTAAAAACTAAAATTGTAAGCGTGTGTGATGTGTGCCAGGTCTTCGCCACTTAGTGAAAAAATGCAAAATGTTTCAGGGCCATAAGCGGCGCATTGATCTAATGAATTAATGATTATTAGGATTACTAAAAATCATTTTTATTATTGCGTAGTTTGACTCATCATTTTAGTACATCTGTTATTGAAAACTGTATGTATGTATTTATAAATCAGACTTTGGGGTGGTATTTTTAGTGTAGAAATTAAAAAAAGTTTTTTTTTCATATTTTCAAAGTTTAACTATTTAAGGATATGTGTACGAGAGGATTTTTAACAATTAATTTTTTTCGGAGATACAGCTGTTTCACCATGATAATCCTCTTCTGTTTCCTTCCTTTTGCGAAACTTTAAACGCGTTTTTCTCAAAACTGTCTTTTTCAATGCGATGCCCACGATTTCTAGAGTTCTATTGGACCGATTTACTCGAAATTTTCGAAGATTTTTTTTATAGACTTCTCTCAGGCAACTAAGTGGAATTCTGTCTTAAGGCAATTAGGGCATCGTGCCTTAAGTCAAATTGCTGGAACTTCCCGTACCGCAATTCAAAATTCGAGTAATTAAAAATAATCAATAAATGTTGATCAATGATTTGAAACTTTTAATAGAATTTCGAACCATATTAAATCATTCTATCTTAAATCATTTATTTTGAAATATTTTGGAAATTCTGAACTTTTTTCAAAGCAATCGTACTGCTTTAACAGCATAAAGACGCGTCGCCATCTAACGCGTAAACATTGGTACGGAACCCATAGGAACGTAAACAAAATTTATACTTATTGTTAAAATCTTTATAAAATATCTGATAATTTGATGTGCATATGTCTAATGTTCATTTTTGACCGCCAAATGGCTCATTTTTTTTACTTTTTCCTCCATATCTCCAAAGTCGTTGGACCTGCCTTTCCAAAAATTTGAACAGTTTTTCATTTAGTCAATACAAATGAAATGTTTTTTGAATTATTCAAATCGGACGCTCCGTTCTCTTAAAAACTGAGTTACCGTTTTCGGCACTTTTTGCCCCGTATCTTCGGAACGGCTAGACCTGCCTTCGCCAAAAACTAATCAGCACGTCTCCTTATCAATACGAATCAAATGTTTTTTTGAATTATTCAAATCGGTTGATCCGTGTTCCCGAAATCGTCGACGAAAATTTGTATCCGAACATACATACACACACGCACACACACACACACACACACACACACACACACACACACATACATCCATTTTATCTAAGGTATGCCAAAATATTCAGAAACC